TGTAGTGTAACATCAATAGGCCTGCTATAAACTTACTGTGACAAACTCATTGTTTTCCAGCTTGACAATGTCACCCACTTGAACATTCATCCATTTTTCACTCTTCAACCTGTTTGAAACCATGACTTTTTATTTATCACAAATTCATTTTGGAACATGCATTTGGTCAAAAGATAAAGTAACGTCATATACACAGAGGCTGGACACTCACTCTCCATCAATGAGCACTTCTACTTTTCTGTTGTTCACATGTTTGTCATTCTTGTGTCTGGTCTGTGTTGTAGGATGAACATGGGAACAAAAAGCAACAGAGAGGGATCATATGAATGGACAGTCAAACACGTTGTTGTCTGTATTGGACATAGACAGGAAGTGGACTCACAATGTCATCAGAGAGATCTTTGGCTAGAGTTATAGACAGCACCAGCAGCAGCGGAACTACAGTCGTGAACCAGGACAGAGACGAGATCTGAGGAATCAGCTGTGCAACACAAACACGGTGAAGCCTGTTAGAACTTTTCTTACTCTGTAAGGCTTCTTACATGCTTTTTCAACATTTTAAATTGCTGTAATAATGTGGTAATCTAATTGAGATGGATTTAACAGATAAGCTACCTGTAAGATGAGAAGAAAGACAAAGTAGGCATTGGCCAGTCTTTGAAACTGCTCAAACAGATTGAGAGGGAGGAAGGTGAACACGTTGTACTTGGAGGTCTTGATGGCATTGTTCTATAAGGACAGACATAAAAAAAAACACTCACAATATGCTCCAAAAAAAATGTTGAATAAAAAATATATTAGTATTTTCCTACTCACCGCATACTTAAACGACAGGTTGAACTCCCTGTCGTTAGCTCGCAAATGCCTCTCCTCTGAGGAAATAAAATACAAAAGCACCACATAAATAAAGAAAAAGAACAGACTAGAAAATAAATAATAATTATTATTATTATTATCAGTGTTGGGGGTAACGCATTACAAGTAACGCAAGTTACGTAATCAGATTACTTTTTTCAAGTAACTAGTAAAGTAACACATTACTTTTTAATTTACAAGAGAATATCTGAGTTACTTTTTTTTTCAATTTTTTTTTCAAAATCAGATGTTACTGTATTAATAAATATGAATATGCATTCATTCATCTCACTCAAAAAAAAAACACAGATTCAGTATTCCTCAAAATGAATAAAAAATAATGCAACTCAGAATATGACACAAACCTGCAATAATTAAATGTTAAACAACACAAATATCCTTTATGTATTTATTCCCATTCTATTAACCAATGTCAACCAACTCTTTTTATTGCTGAAGTGTGTTGAAATGGCTTCTTCTGCATTCTACTGTACGGACGTAAATGTACTTTTCCTTCAGCCTGAGGCTTATTCATTTCACTTTTGGTGTGAAAAGGCTTTTATATTTGCCAAAAATATAACTTTTTTATTTTAAAAACAAACAAGCAAGCCCTGTCCAGATTTAAAAAGTAACGCAAAAGTAACGTAACGCATTACTTTCCATAAAAAGTAACTAAGTAACGTAATTAGTTACTTTTTTATGGAGTAACGCAATATTGTAATGCATTACTTTTAAAAGTAACTTTCCCCAACACTGATTATCATAAACAACAAGAAAATGTTCTAGAACACTATTTTTATATTTCAGGCTTCAAACTGTGTTCGGTGTAGTTGGTTACATATGTTACCTTCTACTTTTTTTTCCTTCACGTTAATTCCAAACGCAGACAGCAGGGAGCCCATGTTTCTCTGATCACATCGTCACGCTGATAAAGAAAAGCCAACCGTGAAAACACATTTTAAGAAACCAAAAATTTAAAACTGATTCAATTAAAAAAGTATTAAATGTGAAGAAAACTACAAAACTTACACCTAATTTAAAAATCTTCTGCAGTAAAGAGCTGTATAATCATAAGGACCAGCTGAATTGTATCCAATCTATTGTGTAATTATCTTTGACTTTTATCATTTTGATTTGTAATGGCTATCATTGTTTGCATTGTCTTATGTAAGGTCACAGCCAGGGATGCTAGATATTACAATTTGTTTTTTGAAGTATTTGTCATTAATGGTTGGCATATGGTGTGTTTTATATGATAAGAATAAACCCTTGTTTAAGTAAAAAGAAAAATCCCTGAAATACCATGTGACCATATTTACATGTTTGAACATTATAACAGCCTGTTCTAGAGTTTTCTATAGGTTCATTAGTGCTAGAGATGAATTAGGGATGTTGAAGCCAGTTTATGTAGCTTCAAAGCATTGAAATCAGAGAAACTGCAGGTTGGATAGAGTCTGATCATAATGCATTATGATATCTTTCTGTTAGTGTCTAGCTGTGGTTAATGATAAACTGGCAGAAAGTTCAGTGTATTTTACAGCTCTCGTCTTATCAGCGCAGGGTATTTATGAGAGGCGCATGTAGGCCTTCTCCATACACACACAGCCGTGCTTCCTGATCTCACAGATTATTCACCTGGCAGCCGTTTTCAGACGTTAGCCTTCGTTCATATAACACAGAGACGATCTTAAATAAGGATAACTAATTATTGTAATTGCTGTTAGAGGCCAAATGATTATGTCTACATGTCAAAAAATAAAACTGAAAATCAATACATAAAAAACACAGCATCTAAAAAGGCTATTTTGTATCAAAATGAATTATTTTCCCTATTAGAAATGATTGAATTAGTGAAAAGTGTTGTAGGTAGCTGCTCATAACCCTGAACATTAGACCACACTCACACTCACACCCACCTTCATCTCACTCTCTTTATCTAATCTAATATTATCATTACCCAATCTTAAACAACTGGAATCGCTCAAAAGTCAACACATTGCCAACGCCCATGAAAGGAATCACTAGAAGTATAAAAAACGAAACATTTCAAGTGAAATCATTCACTTCGAAGACACAAATTTAACACAGCATCCTTTAAAATGTAAGATCTCAGAAGGGTGTGGATTTTTCGAATGCACGTGACTAATTATTATTCTTATTATTATTATATTTTGTTACATTTCTTTAAAACTTGAAGCTGTGGTTGGCAGAACGTTAACATAAAAAGTGACGATGATTCATGCATTACTAAAAGTGATGAAAGCTTTTGCGGTGACTGTTTAATTTATGATATGTTAATATACCAACAGACTTCAGATAAAATGATTTGCTTAATATTTTTACATATAATAACCAGCATAATGATACAACGAGGCTACATGAAGTTCAAAATGGCCTTTCTAGCAAGCATGAAATATACTATGAAGAACACAGTGTTAAATATGTAATAGTGCCAAATAGGAAACAATGCAATATACATGAACTAAAATAACATAAATTAGCATAAAAGACTCATATTCACATAACTATTGACAAAAAACATGTAAATAAAACAAATGTGATGGGTCACACAGGAAATGCCTACTTCTACATGAATAACTAGGCAATAAATACTATTTACTTGTATGTAAACAATCATTACTAGTAATAACTTACCATGAAATTACATGTATTATATTTATAAATGTAATTTCATAGTAAGGTAACTCACGGTTAACTAGTTAACAGGTTTTTACAGTAGCAATTTTGAACGTTATGTTCCTGTTCAACTTCACATTTGACAAATCTATACTCCTCTCTCTCTGTATATACTGAAACAGGTATGTTAAATATTAATAGTAACATACTCAAGTTCGGTATATATTTTTTTTAACTAAGCACTTCATCACAGGTGCAAGTGCCTCTAGCTAATGTCAATAGGTAACTCAAGTTTGAGAGTGAAAAAACGAACATTTTAGAAGTCTAACATACTCCCTTTCTTAGCTCACTAAACATTAATAAAATCAGAAAAGGTCACCAGCTGAGGGTGTCATACCCGAGTTACACGTCTGCCATCCAGGATCCCTAGAGAAACAGCGTTTCAGAATAAACCACCACCCCATAAACATGCGTGGAAAAGAACACTACAGTTCCCATAATGCAACAGCAAACGAGGCCCCTTCCTTAGAGTACAGGTGAAAATTAAGGGTGTAACCTGACGTCAGGAAGAGGTTTTCAGGGCTGGGTGGAGCCAGCGGCTGCAGTTGTGGCCTAAGAAGGGGGTTAGCAATTGGACAACTGCGTAAGCTTGACGGTAACAGAGAGATTTTACAGTATAGCACGTCCAGGGACAGACGGAAGGCAAACAGTGGATGATCTTTGGACTCTGGTGGGCTGGAAGAGGGAAGCTGGTAAAACAGTCAGACGAGGGAATGACGTAGTCACTGGAAACTGGCTGAAATTTGGTATAATGTAAAATCCTTCCAATCTAAACCTCATTTGCATAGTTTAAACTCTTAAAAATAAAGGTTCCGAAAGGGACTTAGATTTTTTACTATAGAGAATGGAAAAGTTCCCTGGATTTTAAAGGTTAAAGACCTACTTTTTCAGAGGGTAGCTCAAATTTGGACAGCTATGAATGGTTTTATTGCTCAAGAGGTTTGCTCGTTCATAGCTCAGTACAGTTCTTCTATGCACTCTAATTGCTATGTAGGATAAACAACTGAGATATTGCACAGATCTCTTAGTACAGGCCATCAAAACACTACAAAAACAGGTCACGCTTGCATTTACGGCGTACTATTGTCACACGTCAGCTGCAGGAAAGGGCTGTTTTATTATCTCTTTTGTTGATTCAGGCAACAAACAGAGTAGAGAAAAGGAACTGTTCCCTCAAAAATAAAAACGTGTCATTTGACGTTTTTAACCTGTATGGTCTGTGGATGAACAATTAAGATAGTTATGCGGAATGTTCATGCTGCTCTTTTCCATATAATGCAGGTAAATGGGGACAGACGCTAAAATAAAGGCACTATAAAAGCAGTTCATATTTGGTCGTGCGCTATATGTCAAGTCTTCTCAAGTCATGCAGTAGGTCTGTGTGTGGTTCATTTTGCTGTAGTTTTAATTGTGCTTCCACATACTGAAATCAAAGTTACGAGCGAAAGCTTGCCAAATGTTTCAGTGAAATACTCCTCATTCAAATGTTTTTTTCTTTACAAAATAACATCAAACCAGCTTAAAGCATTAGTT